ATATAAAATCCACACAAAATATTACTATAGATTCTCAGGCCCAAAAAACATCCAAATACGAGAGGCTGCGCACTCTTGAAGTCATTGAAAAAAACTTTGTATGCTGATGTACATAAATTTTTTTTCCAGATTTATGGATCTATTGGAACGTAAGACAAGGCATATCGGAGATACACGATCGGTAAGTACTTGCAAATTTATAAACATATAATCTGACCAAAGATAAAAAAACGTTAAATATCCCACCGTACCTTTGACTTGCAAATTTCAGCTAAGCATGAAAATTTCCACCACACTTATCTAAGAAAATGTATACCCATCAAACGTGTGATGTATACATAGATAACCTGATTTGAAGTTAGCATCAATATTCAATACAACAGCCCCTCTCACAAAGACTGCGGTACAGGCGAGCACTTTTTATTCAAATCCACAGCAAAATTCGACGTATTTATAAGTCACGGGGCGGGAAGAACTTGCTGTAGGGTGTACGGGCGCACATGTATATATACAAAACACGCGTTCACCGAGGGAGGGTGGGTGACACATAGAGGGTGAGAGAATAGGTGCCGCGAGGGACAAAGACAAATGGCGCGCGAGCGGCACTGGAGTCGGAAGAATAAGTATAGGGAGGCGGCAAAGAGAATCTCCAAAGATCGATTTTCACCTTTGACTCGTGCATATCGAGCACACTGTCGAGATGGTGTATTTTTATGTCGTAACTTGTAAGAAAAAAAAAAAACAACAACAAGATCACACGTCTCGTAGCATCAGCATCAGGTGCGCGCTTACAGCACAGTGAAAAATCGAAAAGGCCAATTCCACGTGGCCTTGGGTGCTCGATTTTTCCAGCTCGAGCCGAGGATTTTCTCGCAAGATGACTACCCACCTCTCGCTCTATCTTGGTACCATCGAAAAGGGTAAAAAAAAAGGGTGATCTCGGATCACACTATCTCGCAAACGTTGCTGATGCTTTTACGGACAGGAAAAAAGGGGGTCATGAAAAATTGCAGCCACGAAAGATTCAATTGGCAGTGGAGTCGAATGAAAAAGGGATTTCCCGGTGATCCAAATCTTGCGAACCGAGGGTGTGCACGACGATGACGACAGCGACGAAAAAAAGTTTTGCTTACCTGCAAGCTATAGCTTCGTCGCCGCCTCAGCGATTTTTCGGCTTCGCGAGAGATGTGTTTTGCTTCTTTGCATTACTTACTTTGCTCCGGCCTGCCTCGCTCGTCTTGAAGTATCGTGCACGGGGAGGCAAGGTGGACTAAGAAGAGGAACGACGCGCGAGAGTTCCCCGAAATGGAGTGGAAGGCAAGCAGGATTTCGAGCTCGTTTGAATAAGTGGTATAGAAAAAACATATCTCGTTTTCTTTTTTTTTTTTCCCCCCAATTCGCTCGCTCTCTCGGACCGTGACAATTTTTATACTTGTCTGACCGTTGTTGACTTTTTCTACTGAATTTGCTACCGCTGTTTTTCAGTTGCGTGGAAGCGTTAATTCATTTTATCTCAAAGTAAATTATAGGGTGGACGATCTAATGGAGTTTGAAATTTACGTCACACGTCCTGTAACGCTAATCGTTGTAAATATTATTTGGTGGAGTGTTCATCAGCTCCACTGAAATGGCTCGCCAAATGCAATTAAGTGTAATTTTAAAAATAAATAAAACCAGCTACGACATTTACGAACACTTCGATAAATGTATGTATCGAGTATTAAGCATGGAAATCAATATATAATTTCGTAAATTGTGTCAATGCTCGTCCATTTACGGATCGTAAATTTACTCATTTAGCTTTGCGATGTGTTCCAAAAAGACTCCTTGTTTAATTAAATTGAATTTGCCGAGGTTTCGAGCACAACCAGTGTCCAATAAGAGACACGTCGAAAGTATTACACAGCCCGTTTATACACACACGCCAAAAATAAACATGTAGGTATATACGTACCTGTACACAAAGTGGTTACTTTAAAGCTCATAACGTCCATTAGACTGATTAAATTGATTGTACTACTGCTAATCCAACGCACACACCCCCACCCATACTTCTTGCAGAGCTCCCTTTCTAATAATAATTTAATGGATAGCGTGGAGTTTCGTGCTCATATAATACAACGTATGCGTACCGGCCTTTGAAGAATTTTCACGAAATTTCAGCAAATAGAGGTTCGTAATACGTGGGCTCGCACTTTGTGCATGATCCCATGATCTGTTTGCTCATGAATCACAATGAAAAAGGAGGATAAAAGATTGGTGTGCCATTACTACTACCGAATTCATTGGTATTCATTCTTTTCGTGAATCCACAACTAAATACCAGTAGATTATTTATCATCGAATAATCATCTATCTTATGCTCTTGCCGAATCATACACAAGCTTTTCAATTATGGCCACACAGTGTTGGGGTGTTTGGTGCCATGGTCGTGTCTTGAATCGAGCTCCGTCTAAATGACATCTCCAAGCTGCCCAGCCAAGTGTTAAACGCGATCCCACGTGGCGCGCTGCTCGCGCGCTTTCGCGAGATAGGAATACACAAACGAAATTCAGCCGAAACAGGGACACAATGTAAGGATGATTGGCCGAGAATGGCATCCATTACGTCTTGGGTGGCGGTGTACAGGAGAGCGGTTTCCCCTCCTAATCCTCTTCCCTCTCGCGCCCTTTGTTTATTCATGGATCGAATAAGCCAGGATTAGCCCGTTCTCCGAACATATATACACGTAGCTGCGTTTTCCCAGCCAACGACCAAGTCGCTTTACTTAATCGAACCGTCTGTGTACGTAAGTATATACATACACGTATCTGTACGTGTCTCAAGAAACGCCAACCAGATAGACCGGCTTTGCCCCATACGTACACACATAGGTACGGTGTAACTTACACTGAGGTGAACGCGCGTATATATAGGCAGCGAAATCGTGGTCAAACGTATTGGGATAAGGGTACGAGGAACTAGGGAGATATAGGTGTACAGAGACTCTGAGTTGGTTGATTCGCGCGAGAACGGGGCTATCGAGTCGACGCTACCTCGAGCCGAATGAAGTAACGTCAAGTTTCCCTTCCGATTCAATGAGCTTTGCAGCCGATAATACTGTAAACGTCGTACGGGACAAAGATCATATATATGTAGAGGAGTGGACTTGAGCTAATTCTCTCTTTCTTTCTCCTTCGTAATCGTCAGTTCTTGCTAATCTTGCTTATACCAGCCACTGCTCTGGCCTGATTTCCTGTGTGTACCTACCTATGTTGGCATCAGTCTGTATAATGTTGTCTTTTTATTTGATCGCATGATTATTGTCTCTGGTGAATCCTTGTGGGTCACACCATAGGTGGGATATACACGAACGGTAGACTGTTCGATTGAGAGGAAAAAAAGCAGATGCTCGTGTCATTATAAGCGTGAGTGCCAGACTTGGTACGCGTTATATATGCGACGAATGTTTTTGCAAGGAATTTTATGAGGTCGGCCGTAGAAATCTTATAGTACCTACATAGGAACAAGAGCGTTTTGGAGCCAGCAAGTTCCACGTCACTGGTTTCTCCGTGTATAGGGCGACCCGTATCGTTGGAATATCGTGCGCACACGTCACGAGCACCACAGCTTTCGTATCGCAATGTGGTCAAGAGGTATACCCATATACCAAGCGTGTCCCTTCTCAATATCACGCACGTATGTGGCCGAAGGAACAAGTGTTAACGAAATATGCGGGCTTGCGGTCGTGAGTACAGCAAAATGGCATGGCTTGTGTGTGCTTTGGATGGGCTTGTTAGTCTGTCAGTCAGCGCCGGTGATTGTACTGATACGAGGTGAAAGGATAGCGATGATGATTTTGAAGGCTGCTCCACCATCATGATTAATAAGCAAGAAATATGAGTTGGTCTAGAGTTTCACGGCAACATGATTTTTAGGTCTTGAGTACTTACTTTTGGATTAGAGTTTTTATGCATGTTAAATCACTTTTGCCTTTTTTTCTGTTACATTCGAGTTTACGTTGTAATTGCGATATCATCAAATAAATAATGAAATTCTAATTCATCTTTAACTTGACGATGAAACTTGAATCACTCGCAACATTCGATATCCATCAACATTAAATTTGTAACACTATGATTGTTTTTCGAGTAGATATTTTAACTTTAGTTCAAGATGAGTTGCAATAAAAATAGCATTTAGTTTAGACACGTATAATACGTTTCGACACTTCAATCAAGCAAACGAGTACGTTGTCAATCAGGAAATGCGATGTGCATGTTGTTGAACCTTAAAACACACCACTACCAATGCCTATACCACTCACTCTCACCTGGGAGGAGAAAAAAAAAAAACGCCTATGTTCGGCAAATTTCCCTTTATCTCCGCTGCTATTTCCCCTTTCCCATCTTTGACGCGCTATTTTTTACGACCGACAATGGGGAATGCAGTTTTTGCAAGTAGCAGCAGCGAACGCGTATAGATGGTTCGGATAGGGAGCGACATGTGTTCGCCAGCGCTTGATCGTCGCGTGCGAGATTACGCAGGGCGTGCGAGTCATAAAGGCTTTTTTCCCCTCCTTTTTTCTGTTTGCAATAACAGCCGGGAAAAAAAAGAGGGTGAAGGGTTGTTTTTCAGTGGAAGCTAGAAAATGGCTTTCGTAGAAGAGGTGACGCTCCACGGGGCCGAAGTGGTAATTGCAGAGAACAGTTGGAAGAAGGCTTTCAGTCATTATGCTCACGAAAGAGATGTTTAGGGGTGATAGTTAAAAATCGATGAACGCGAATAACGGAGCATCGTAAAACTTTTACGCACCAATATTTTCGTTTAGCTGTTAGATTTGGAAAAAAAAAAAAATGTTTTTCATTATTTTTATGGACCTACAAGATAAATTCTGGAAAATTGCTGGATTTAAAATTAATCGATCGCACGAAGCCCCAAATGGCCGATGCAGCGACGATCAATCAAAAGTCAAAGCTTCATAAGTTATATAGGTATATATATGTGGTAGCGGCACTTACCGCGCTGGCATCGATCGCCTCCCCGGCCCAGAGGACATTGGCATCTCTGAACGGGCGTCGGTGTACCATCGGCACTGGCACCGGCGATGCTCGAGCTGCTCCTCCTCCTGCGTCGTCGACGTTCAGTTTCGGGATCGACGAGTTTGACGCCGACGTCATTCGTGTCCCGTGCCGTCGAGGGGTCGAGCTCGACGTAGCAGCTGCCACCAGGTCCGCAGTCCAGTGTACAGGACGGCTCGCCATTAGACGAGCTATCGGTTGACAGTGCCACGGGCAGCTGTTGCCGCTGCTGTCTTGTGCTCGGGATCCAGTTCTGTAAAATTAATATTGGAAATACGGATGCGATATTGCTGCAGGGTTTCATCATTGTTGTTGCTTTTTTTTTTTTTNTTCAAGTGGGATTGAAAGTATTTCTTGGGCCGAATGGCGTTTTTTTACAAAAGTGCCGTTTTCAATTTGTTTCTTTTTGCTACCATCCCTCTATCACCAACACACTCGGCATCATCAAAATTTTCGGTCCAGCAAAAGTTTCCTCATCTTCTCGCAAAATAATCCACGAGTCAGCGCTGTCGAACCAATTATATATGCGAAGACAAAGAAAGCGAGGAAGGAAAAAAAATGGCTCTCCCCTCTCGGTTCTCCCTTGTTCGTCGGATTCCAAAATCCAGGGCAGCATATATAGGTGCAGCCAGTCATTTCTCATTAGGCTCGAGCTAATGAATTAAGGCTCCGCTATGAATCGAGTAATTAACGATTCCCGCGCTACTACCATTCCTACTGTGTATGCGCATAGGCTACCGCGAAGGACTCGCGGCTGCGGAAAAAGAGAGGGAGAAAGCGTACGCTACATTAATTCACCAGTTCGTTGCCCAACTCTCTCTCTCTCTCTCTCTAGATTTTTTTTTCCTTCCAATTCCGTGGACTCGTTGGCATTGTAAATTCCAGAGGAAGAGTAAGTTCAACTTAACTCTCTTTTCCCGGGCTTAATTTTTTTTTTCTCTCTTTTGCCTTTCCTCTCCAGCTTGTCCCTCTCCCCTTCTCCTTTTTTTTTTTCATCAACGCCACGACAAAAAAATAAAAAAAAAAAGAAGAAGAATAAATCCATCCTCCATTGGGCAGCGGCGCATCAGCAAGCTGAGGATCCTACCACGCGCAAAGTGAGTAACGGGGGAAAGGAAGGGAGATGGATAGAAGGAGCGCGACGAGGGTGGGATGAAATAGGAGAGAAGTCGACAGAAAAAAAAAAAAAAAAAAAAAAAAAAAAAAAAAAAAAAAAAAAAAAAAAAAAAAAAAAAAAAACTAGGGCCCAGAAGGTGAATCCATTCTTTACTAATGAAATTCATTAACTACTCTGAAGTGAAATAGTTAATGATTGTTTCAATTAGCTGTACCTTATGTTCAATTGTATACAAAGACGGATATTAATTTTATCTTGTCTACCTACCATATCATAAATGTTTGATATAATTTTAAAGACTTTCGATTCATTTTACAATGATGTTTGACACACAAAGAAAAGTGACAGTAGTTTCAATTTATGTTTCTTTATCATCGTTAATATCAATTGTAATAGTGATAAATGTAAAATTAAGGTAACCATTGTTAACTACCAATGAAAAAAATATTTTACAAAATGCCTCGTTAACTATTCCTGCAAAATATTCCTGTAATCAATTCTGCTTTATTAATTTCATATTTTTATCGTGAATAATTAGTGATATACCTGTGCACTGAAGTGCAGTGCAACATTGAATTAAATCATTGGAGCCGCACAGGCCAATCTGACGTTATATTTAATAATGAAATAATTATGAAAATATCGCTATCCATGCATGAGATAAAATACAAAAATGTTGCAAGCCAATAAGGTAAAATAATAATTTGAGTAAAAGTTTCGAAGTATTGAAAAAGAAGAATGATAATAATAATAAAGTACCCTATATTAAAGTTCCATCAACGAAAAAAAAAAAGAAAAAAAAAAGGTTTTTTCTGTTTGCGATGTAACGTGATTTTTCTCATAAAAAGCGGATATTAAAACCAGAGAATACAGTGTCAGGCTCGTGCAAACACACAGAGCGCGCAATACAATGTCCCAACTCGCGCCAGCCTGTTTTTATTATTATCACTTCTTCGCGTCCGTTAATATCGACATATTGGTTTTTAAATGCACGTCATATTCAATAACGATATAAATACCTACGTATATAAAGAATCGAGAGCGACACTTCGATAAAAGCTTTTATTTGCACTGTACACTATACCACTTATGAATTATATGAGGTAAAAGCAAGTTGTAGCGTACGATGCAAAATTTAATGTATACCTGAGGTGTCGGTGGTATTTTATCCTCGTCGGGAACCTCGTTCGTCTCTTCGTCGTCGTACGAAAGGTGTGACTCGTTCGAATTCGCGTTGCCTCCGTTCAGATGTATCGTAAAAGAGGCTCCTCGCATGTATATCACATCCTCGCCCATTTCTTCGTCCTCGTCGTCGTCCTCGTCGTCATCGTCATCGATGTCGGATACCTCCGGTCCTAAGATCTTTGACGATGCGGCCTCGTTGGTACTTGCTGCCACTTCAGGCGGTATAATGCCTTCGCTCGTCGAGGACGATGTCGTGTTTAGCTCTGCAAAGAAAAAATCAATACATTAATAGAGAGAAAAATTGTAAAATTTAAAGTTTAATAAATTATTTTTGTCGCGTGAAAAAATAGGTAGACTTTTGAATATAGATTTTTACTAGAAAAAACTTCTGGTTAAAAAACTTAATTATTTTTGACCATGACTAAAAAATTTGAGAAAAATTCGACTTCCTATAATCACTATGCTATTTAACCCTGAATTGAAACAGCTCTGTATTTTCCCAACATAAACTCTCATGTGGACCATCAAGTGCAACGACCCCCTACGAAAGTCCCTCGCACCTAATCAACACCCACACCCACACACACACACACGTGGAGCACTTACGTCAAACGAAATTCGTTTACCTGCCGGGAGAAAGCAAAATTCAATAATTCCACGCCCATGATAAATATACCCAACAGCCTCGCCGCCCTCCCATGTAACCGGGTAAACAAGAGGACAATGCAAGCTGGCGTTCTCAGCTGCCTGCTCCTCCTCCTCTTTGGCAGAACCCCTTTGCGCACAATGAATGAACGAACGGACAATTCCCCCATTCTGCTGGGGCACGAGCATCCTCATCCGAGAACCAAGCCGGGAAACACACGCGCACAAAAGAAGCTTTCTCTCAGAAACCACCCTCTGGTTTTTTTTTTTTTTTTTTTTTTTCTATCTAAACCCCACCATCATATCCGCGAGTATAAGCCACTGTTGTTTTGTTTTTTCGGGCTTGGTTCTTATTACTTTTTTTGCTGTTTTGTTTCTGCAGAAAAAAAACTGCCCGGTGCACCATGAAAGAAGGGAGAAAAGCGCGTGCCTCTGTCGCCCCCATTGTTCGGGCCGACAATGGACACGCGTGTTATCGAGCCGAGGGCCGGAATGTAATTTCGATGGGCTCATCTGCCTCTTCGACATACACCCGGGATCAGGAGGCTCGAGGCGGTGCATGTAGTGCTGCCGGAGAATAACGCTATAGCGGAATCGATGATGGCTATCTACGGTGCGACGCACCTCGCGGGCACTTGACTCCCTCCTCCCCCCTTTTCGATCAAAAGCAAGTGTTTGGGGGCCGTGCTGCGAGACTATTGGCATGGGGGTCTCACCTAGGCAAATTGATGGAGCCGTCGGTCGGGGAAGGCACAAAGGAAATTTGCCGGGCTCATTGAGTTATGATTGAATTGTTTGGAGGGCCGAGGAGTGCGCATAAGTACGCCTCGGCCGGTTAATCGAGTGGCGCACTGTAAATTCATACGCGTTCGCGTTTCGAGCGTGTAATTGAAATTGCTTGTTTTTATAAATTGCATGTCGCTCTTGTGTTGTGCAAGAATTGCAAGTGCAACCAAATCCATGGTGCATCAAGTACTTGACCGGTTCCACTATAGACTGGATACTGTGATAAAAAGCTGTGGAATGAAAACATTTGGCTGTTGACGAATTATACTAGAGCGTAAAATTCCTGACAGAAATATTTCGCTTCCTGTGTAGCCTTCTTACGTCAATTGTGGTAGAAAAAAAAAAAGGTTTAGTCCATAATAATTGGCGAAATTGTTTACGGTTGTAAGATTTATGTAATGCATCATTTCAGAAGGAAAAAACTCCAAAATACATCCTTCAAACGTATGCTTTAACGCACTTTGATGTACAATGAATGCATGTGCAGGTGCTTTTTTCTAATCGAGTTGGAAAAAACTATTAGCGACGAGCAAATCATCACCCTCCAATCTCTTTCAAAGCTGTCCGTACTGGAAAGTAGCTTGAATTTAGGGGTTGAAAAAAAAAAAAAAAAAAAAAAAGACCGAAGGATGGGAGTTTTTCATTTCGTCGGATATCTAGATACAGTAGAATAATCTCGCGTCTGTCACAACGTGGCACGTGAATGGAGCCCACGGTAAAATTGAAACGGACGCGGTGCCACGATGGTATATGCAGAGGAGGGACGCCTTCGGGCTGTGTACGTTATATATAAACGCGTATTTTTCGTCCCACTCACGCGTCAATATTTTACTTCGCGGATACGATATACATGCGTCCGGTGTCTCTATAATCCGTATATGCTGGACGCTTGAAATTCCACATTCTCGCTGTGAGGGGGACTATGACTGTGCTCTGGTGAATACTGAAGAATTGATGGCTACACTTTGACGCATCGAATCGCGTTTCATGTATATTTACGTGATGCAGCTGCCTATGATTAGGATGTAGTAGAATGAAAGTGAGGCAAACTGGCGCAATTCAGGGCTTTCACGTGTACACAGCGAAATCAATAATGGCCTCCGACCACCAGCTTTTGTGCCATCGATGGGGCTCTTTTAACGTTTTTTGCAAAAGAGATTGAAATGGCAAAGGGAACATATATATGCTCGCAAAGGGTTAACGTTCAAGTGGGATTGAAAGTATTTCTTGGGCCGAATGGCGTTTTTTTACAAAAGTGCCGTTTTCAATTTGTTTCTTTTTGCTACCATCCCTCTATCACCAACACACTCGGCATCATCAAAATTTTCGGTCCAGCAAAAGTTTCCTCATCTTCTCGCAAAATAATCCACGAGTCAGCGCTGTCGAACCAATTATATATGCGAAGACAAAGAAAGCGAGGAAGGAAAAAAAATGGCTCTCCCCTCTCGGTTCTCCCTTGTTCGTCGGATTCCAAAATCCAGGGCAGCATATATAGGTGCAGCCAGTCATTTCTCATTAGGCTCGAGCTAATGAATTAAGGCTCCGCTATGAATCGAGTAATTAACGATTCCCGCGCTACTACCATTCCTACTGTGTATGCGCATAGGCTACCGCGAAGGACTCGCGGCTGCGGAAAAAGAGAGGGAGAAAGCGTACGCTACATTAATTCACCAGTTCGTTGCCCAACTCTCTCTCTCTCTCTCTCTAGATTTTTTTTTCCTTCCAATTCCGTGGACTCGTTGGCATTGTAAATTCCAGAGGAAGAGTAAGTTCAACTTAACTCTCTTTTCCCGGGCTTAATTTTTTTTTTCTCTCTTTTGCCTTTCCTCTCCAGCTTGTCCCTCTCCCCTTCTCCTTTTTTTTTTTCATCAACGCCACGACAAAAAAATAAAAAAAAAAAGAAGAAGAATAAATCCATCCTCCATTGGGCAGCGGCGCATCAGCAAGCTGAGGATCCTACCACGCGCAAAGTGAGTAACGGGGGAAAGGAAGGGAGATGGATAGAAGGAGCGCGACGAGGGTGGGATGAAATAGGAGAGAAGTCGACAAAAAAAAAAAAAAAAAAAAGAAAAAAAAATAGATTCGTGTCCCGCCGGCGAGGAGCGGAAAAGGACTTTCTGGGCGGAAAAACTCGGCAAGCTGCGGACGGGAATGCATATGAGACGAGGAGACGAGGATGGAGACTACACTCCTCCCTCGTCTGTGCATATATATGTATGTGAGCAAGAGGGTGGCGTCTGGAGCTCCAGGGGCTGCTGGCGGCCACTAGAAAAGTACGACGACGACGATATCCAAAAGTGGCGTCGTCGTCGTCGCGACCTTCCCTTCGTGTAATACCGTATACACATCGCCAGTACTGGCCTGCTGAGAAAACTTGTGCGATAAATTTTCCCCGCGTGCTCCGCGTACGCGGTTGGATTTAGTGAAATGCCGTTTCTCCACTCGTACGATGGTGTGCGTTTGTACGTGTATAGGCATATATATGTATGCACCGTCGAGGAGGTAAAGTGTGCGGCTTGGGTGGGAAGCTGTACTTGTGTGCGTGCACGCGAAAAATGCGAGCTTCGAGAGATTGAGGAAAGAAAAGGCGAGGGAGGAGGGAAAAAAACGAGGTTCTTTCTCCCCATCTGCTCTCTGGCACCGCCAATTACATGGTACTGTACTGGGCTGGATTATGTGCGAAATTTCGCGGCAAGACCCGAGGAGCGAGCGGTACAACGGATGCTGCTTTTTTTTTTTTTAGTTTTAGTTTTTTGCTGGTGTTTTTTTCCAAAGAACGAGGTTTTCGAAAGCTCCGTAGACGGCAATTAAAGTTTTGCGAGAAAAAACAGTCGAGAACACTCTAGGAGCTCGAGATTTTTGTTTTCTCGTATAATTTACTTTTTTCTGTCTCTCTTTCTGTTCCTTTTTTTCTGGATGTCAGTTAAGTGTGTTTTTTTTTTTTTTTTTTTTTTTTTTTTTTTTTTTTTTTTTAATTTTAACTGAAAAAAATGTATTTCCGATTTCTTTTGTGGCTTGTACAATAGGTACTTTATACTTTTTGTGCAAATTACAAGTGTGGTAACTCATTGATGAGTTGTTTTTTATCATACATTGAACACGTAATTTGAAATCTAGTATCAGTTTGATATAATCATAATGATGTACTAAAATTTTGTATATACCAAACTTACATGTGTCCAAAAAATTTAAATAGTTTGAAACTTCCTAAAACTATAGCAGCCATTTCGCAATAATATGTATTTGATGTAGATGAAGTATCTAAAATTTTCGTGGCCATTTGTGATAAAAATTTTGTTAATAATAATAAGTTACATTTTTTTATTTAAAATCGATAATTTTTAATCATCTAGTAAATTTTAAGTTTAATCTTTAGTAATTTTGTGACGTATAATTAACAATCTTTTTTTTTAAGCTGTCTTTCCAATAATTATTTATAATACTTAATGCTGAGAGCTTTGCCCAGTCTATTGAATAATTGAAATTAATTTTTTTTTATGTTCGTGGCACCTATTCGGTTTGAAAGTACGTATTTAATATTTTACCAAAGTCATGAATACAACAAAGTTCTACTGAACAGAGTTTTGCATATTTCATGGGCTTCCATGCATGAGTAGTAGTGCAATATAAGAATATTGACATTTATGATCTGCTGGGACGAGCTCGGTATATTCGTTTTTGCGATGGAAAATATTACTTCTGGGCATTGCTCCTAAGTTTTTTGAAAGGCAGCTTATCAAGGATCAGAATTTTCATCGAGATATTAGTATTTTCGTCAAAAAAAAAAAAAAAAAAAAAAAAAAANTTTTTTTTTTTTTTTTTTTTTTTTTTT